GAACAGCTACACACACAAATTCACAGTGGTTGTGATGCAGTGTACATGCAAGCTCAAGCCAGACCGGTCTCAGTGCAGAGGAGAGCTGGATATGAAGACCCACCCCTGGCTAAGGGAGTATTGACAGTTCTTAGGCTGTGAGAGAGGAAGGGTCATTTTCTCTAAAAGTGTACCCACTGATAATTTGACCAAGCTTTGGCAAAAGACCACACATCCAAGAATATTTAGACAGCACAAATTGACCCTGATGGGGGAAAATAAAAAAGGACCCAAAGTTGTGTGGGTAGAAAAAGCAGTGCTGGATCTGGGAAGAGTTGGAGGGAGGAGGGTAACTGTGATTCATACTACAAATCTCTCAAAGAACTAATACAATGGTTTATTGAAGTAAATTCCAATTAAAATCAAAAGTCAGGGGTGCAGCTTGGTGGCAGAATGCATGCCACACATGTGCAGAGCCTTGAGCTCCTTCTCTAGCATGAAGAAGAAAATTCAGAAGAGAAAAACAGAAGATATTCAACTTTTGCTTCTCAGATAGTAGTTGACACATGTACTTTGAAGGTGATTTTCAGGGTAAATAAGCCGGGTAGCTTAACAAAGCCTATCTACAGAGGGACCTATTAGAAGGAGTATAGTTGTCTCTCTTGGTTTCTTTTGTCTTTCTATTTTTGATGGTTTAGTAGCATGCATTAATATACATAATCAGAGGCTTGAAAGTGACATTTTCATACATGTACATAATATAATTTGATCATATTCACTATGTGACCACATTGTCCTTTCTTGTCCCTCTCTCACACATGACAGTCCCTTTCCTTTTCCCACCTAACTCGGTTTCTACCTTCATGTCTTTCTTTCCTTTTATGTCCCAAAGAATTTCATTAAAGATTTTTGACAGGCACATAGGTAAGCGTTTGGTTACTGGAGCATGGAGACCTTACCAGTCACTACACCATGGGACGTACATTTCTCTCCCTCCTTCACCAACTTCTCAGGGCGGGAGGGCATCTGTGACCCCTGTGCCCATGCATGGAGTTGTTTCAGATTTTTATTTTGAAAAGGAGCAGTCACTTTAAATTGCTGGAAACTGGAAGCATCCCATTGCTTGAAGGAGACACAGTGACCTTGTTTGCGTCTGTTTAGATAAAATTCTGAAATGACCTTGTTTTGTCTTAGTCTGTTATGATCTCACACAGAACTTGTCTGATACTCTTGGAGAATGCTTATGCTCATCAGGACAGTCGCACAGCCAGCCTAGGAGCTCCAGGCCAGCTCCTGCTCCACTGAATCCTCTTTGTAGCTAGAAGGCTAGTCTTCCATGTTGAAGGCTGCCTTTTCTTCTCTTGATTTTCATTTTAAATCAAGGCTCAAAATGTAAAAAGGAGTGAGTTCATTTTACCTTGAGTTACAAATATTAAAACAGAAGGTCATCATTTAAAATGGTAGCTGAAATTGGGGCAAACATTTAAAAGAAAATGAATATTATTCTTCAATGTATTTATTTGACAAATAAACATATTTTCTAGGAGGCAGTAGGTACTCCGAGCAGCCTTGAGAGGAATATAAATGTGAGTAAGAAATGGAGGTTATCTGAAAGTTTGTACTTTCATCAAGTGCTAAATAGATATTTCAAACTTGGACTGTTGGGTATAAACACAGAAAAACTCCCAGGGTGCTTATTAGCTAAGTTTTTGTTTAAAGTTGGATTCCAAAGGATCAGATGTGGAAACTTTGAAAGCATTTTCAGAAAAGCTTTGTAGAATTATTTAGCTTGGTGTATACGGATTACAAAATTCAAATATTTATCCCCTTACAGACTCTTATTAAGGCTGCTACACACTGAGTTGTCAGTAGAAATAAATATATGGCAGAGTTTAACTAAAGAAATCAGTGTTAAATAATATATTAGTCCTGGCTCCCAAAGGATACCCAGCCATGCAGTCCTTAGCGGTGGTATGCATTTGCATTGATAGGTGGATGGTATAAAACCAGAATTGCTCTTTGTAAACTTGGAAATCCAAGTGCAAACCATACATTTCCTGGTGGATTTTTATGCAGTGAGTTATGTCAGAATGTGATCTGGGATCAACATTATAGTCTATTGTCGTTGTCTTTTATGTTTAATAAACAACAGTCCTCTGAACCGAAACAGTTCCCAGGGGAAAAGCACAGCACACAAATACTCCAAATCAAAAACTTTGATATGCAGACAGCCATTAAAATCATGGGCAATATCTCTTTATTAGTTGCCCTACAGAGGCATATTTGAGAAATTGTCTCAAGGCTCAAACCCTCCAGTTTCCTCAGGAGGTGTGACAGTATTCCCTTGTTCCATGGAGACTAGCTTGGTGCATGGCTGGCACTTTCCACTTCTAAAAGTTTGCTTTCACTGAATCTTCATACCTCCTGTCATTTACAAACTGGACTTTCTTCTTCAACTTTGATGATGTTGCTGCTGCTTGTTTTTAAAGTTGAATGGTGAGATTTCCTGATGATTCTAGTGACTAATTGTTGGTTGTGATGTTCCGAGTCCTGTCACAGTCTTGTCCTCTGTCTTCTCTTCTTTGATAGAAAGGACATGAGTGTGAGAATTTTCTTACTAGGTCTTAGGTTCTATCAATTTTGAAATCTGTTTCCTCCATGCTGTTTGGATCTGTAACTCCTAGTGCCCCTCGAGGGTGCTGCTGCATCGGTCAGGTTTTTGTTTGTTTGCTTTGGGTTTTCTATTTGTTTGGTTAATTATTATTATTATTATTATTATTATTATTATTATTATTATTATTATTGCAGTCTCCTTGGTTACCAGTTCTAAAATTTCCATGCAGTTTTTCCTTCCCTCTTCTGTTTCCTTGCTGTGACTTTCCATGTTTTTCCCCTGTAACTCTTTACTTCAATTCATTTTTATAATGTATATAGGAGTATTTTAAAAATTTCTACTTTGAGATCTTTGTCAACTATTTCTTATGTTTGTTATCTCAGTAGCCTGGCTTGTTGTCTTTAATTCAAATACTTATCTTCTTATTTGTTGATGTGATGTGTGACCATGTTAAAAGCTGGTCACACATTTTCATAGCACTCATTCTATAATATTGCTGTGGGAAAGAGGACAGCCATCTTGTTTCTACCAGACAGGAGAGAATGCCAGTTCCCAGTCAGCCTCCCTTGGGAGGGAAGGGGGACAGTGCCCTGTTCTGCTCCCTAGGAGCAATTCTGACTCCCCTCTGGCTCCTGCTCACACCATATTGACTTGGAGAGGTACAGGGTTTGCCTGTTGCTGGATAAGGCAGAAGTTCCAGCCTCCTTTGACAGCAGGGAAGGCTGACTGTCCTGAGGTTGAGACGGTCGTCTTGATGCTTTGCTGGTCATCTTCTGACACCACTCCCATGAGCAAGGAGAGCACTTAACTACACAGTGTGTAAAGAAAGACTGCCATTGTCCCCTGGTGCTGTGATCGCAGGTTTCTGCATTCTCACAGTTCTGGAGACTAGAAAGTCCCGAGGCAGAGGACCCACCTCTGGAAAATCTTCGCATTATCCCATGGAGTACCCAGCATAGGGAGGAGTAGAAGGGAAGGGAAGGGGGTGACTCTCATCATTACCAAAATATTCAAATGTGTTATACTTGCATTCATATCGATTTGTATTTATGTATCTCTGAATAGATATCAGTATCTATATCTTACATATTTCATATTTATATGTAATATTAACATTTATTTATATATCATAGTATATAATCCTAATATAATTTATATGTAGTTATATATATGTAATTTTTCAGGCTTAAGTAGAAAATATTTATAACAAATTCAAACCATCAAATAATCTTCTCTTTGAAAGTTTTTCTTTTATTCATAACAAAGCTTTATGTTACTTTGCACATAGTTACCAACAACTAGTTGAGTATGTGAACGAGTGAGATATATCTGTATACTTATATATTGTTTGTAACTATAATATGCCTTGAAGGTAATAATGACATCCATCATCATTTTTTTTTTCTTCACTTTTTTTTTAATTCTTAACAAGTATGTTTTAAAGTTTTGGATTACCAAAAACTATGAGGAGAAAACAGAGAAAGTTGCAGGATTTTCTCCATGCAAACACTGGACAGGTTCTGTATGCTGTGTAAGGGCTGGGCATAATTTCAGTGAAGACTATTTCCATGGATGGTTAAAGGGAAGAACCCCTTCAGCCTTTAAAACTGTGAACACTAACAGCATTTTGGAAAGGAGTGGACCAAGTAAAGAATGAGCTGCTCCTCTGCTCAAGAAAGCAAGAAGAACTGTTTAATTGTACCTCAGGGGACTGAGGGGAAAGCCTCAGCAGCCTTGAAACAGGAGGAAGGAGCTGCCGGAGAAAGGAGAACAAGCCTCAGGCACGCAGGGAAAGGTTGCCTGTACAGACACCCGACCGCGAAGAAGACGTTCCACTGTGGGCCTTGGCTAATTAGAGCTAGAAACAACAAAATCCAGCTTTCGAAGTTGAAGGTTTGTGTTTCTACGTGCTCACCCCAACACTGGTTCTAATTGCCAATCAATATCAACAAAATTGAGGAAGCTTATCAGCATCAAAACTACTTTAAGCAGTGCTTCGGGAAAATGAAGGGCAGCAGTGATATTCAGCCTGGAGCAACATGGGTAGGGAAGAAAGGGAGACCCAGGAGGCAGAGCAGCTGAGTGTGGGGAAGCCCAGGGCTGAGCTATAATGGTAATTCAATTCCATCTCCTCTCAACTCAAATCCTAGTCTCCTTCTCCTGTTCTGTGAATATTGAAATTGCTATTGAAAAAAGAAGGCAGACAGACTGGGGGTTTGTCAGTTCTGAAGAAAACATGAGTGACCCGGGCGAGATGAGAGTTCTACGTGGTCAACAGCACTAAAACTAACCCGTGTCTCCAGACCAGAGAGAGAGATGCTAGGCGTGCGCTTGTCAGGTACAGACAAACTGGCCGGGCAAACTGTGCTAGCGCGAGCACAGCCACAGCTGACTTGACGGCTACAGGGCCCTCATGGGGGTTTTCCATGAGCACAAGTCTACACGTCCCGGATTGCTGTCTGTCTGTCTGTTTCTTAATCATTCAAAGCTATAACGTTCTTATTATTTCGCGCTTTTTTCAGAAATTTAACTTTATGAACAGAGATGGGATGGTCCACGACTGCCTTCTAACATTGTCCCAACTGGGCTGAATATAGCTTTATTTCACCTCTAACATAGTTGTTCGTAGGTAAAAACATTCTCTGTTCTGTGCCACAGTACTGAGAGTCAGAACCGTTCTTAACCTCTAGGGCGATGACTTGAAATTACACGGGGAAACCGATTTCTCTTAGATTAAGAGGTGATATGGTTAAACCCATATGTCACATGCCATTTTATAGGATGTGCTATCAGAAATCTTCACACATTGGTGTGACGGGGGTGGGGTGCAAAAACTGTCTTACCCACTATTGAATGACTCCTTTGTTACAAAGTGGATTGTCCTCTTCAAAATTCCTATGTTCAAGTCCTAACCCCCTCTTACCTCTAAGTGTGACTACATTTGAACCCTTAACAGATAATTAAAGGTAAAAATTCTCTGGGGTAATTAAGTTAGTTCCCTGTGTTCAGGTCCTAATCCGATACCATTAATATCTTCGTTCAGATGAGGACATAGACAGAAATATCGTGAAAAACAAATGCTTGGAGAAGATGCCCCGTGAAGCTACAGAGAAGGTGGCCAGCCATGAGCAAGCTGAGGAGGAAAGCCCCCAGGCAGTAGCAAACCTGGTAACAGTTTGGTCTTCTTGTGAGGAAATGAGTCTTTGCTGAGTAAACCACCTATCTGTGGTATTTTGTTTGAGCAGCCCTAGCAACTAACACAACCGGCAAAGATCGGATCCATAGGAAAGAGCATCTGGCTTGAGCTAGCAGCTCATCAGGTAGCACTCACCGTCTGTCTGCCTTAGGCTGATGCTGTAGCTGACTTCACTTTCCCAGAGGTGTGCAAAGAGCAAGGGCAGGAAGGAGAATAAATGTCTCTTGGATATTTGGAGGCTGGACAGTAAGTATACAGTCATATTTGGAGAGTCTTGTTTAGTTTTGATGCTGTGAAGTCTTTTCTATAACACAAGACATTATATTTCAATGGTTTTGATAACGAAATAAAAGAAATACAGTCACATGTAGCACTTTTGTGGGTGTGATAACCCCTACAATCCATCAATATTTATAGTTATTAAGTACTTGTCATTGCAATGTGCTCCCAGGCACATGTGTGGGCATTGTGCTGTCTGGGACTTGTAAAGCCTCCCCACTTGCTGTTATAGGAGATTACATGAGCACTATGCTTTTCAATGACTACGTTGTCACTTACAGAGACTGCACATCCCCCTGACCTGACCATGCCACAGCTTTCAACCGTTTCATGTGTATATGTCACATCACAAAAGCCCGATACTTAGATGAAGTGACTGGCTAGACTGGATGCTTCAACAAGCACATACTACCTCAAAGAATCAATAGATTTGAACTGTAGATGGGAAAGTGTAAACTATAAACTTCCAACTGCAAAATTTTTAAAGGCATGGAAACAGCATGGGTGAATAAACACAAGCAGATAGCAGTAAACAATTATGAAATTTTCAATGTCATTTCAAAGTCATTGCCTTGAAAGTTTAGACTCAACAGTTAAAAACAGAGGTCTCCTCTAACTTACACAAACAGGCACAAATAAAATCAAATTAAAATTTTTTGTATTGTATATATGACAAGTAACGTGCCTTTTAAGGGATAATACAACTCCATTACAAGTGGCAGTTACAGTAATTATCAAATATTATGCCATATTTTAGCAAAAAAAATTGGAACATAAAGATATTGTGACAATAATTATATGAATGAATTTTGGGCAGAAATAGACTTTTAATAAAGGGATTATATGTTGCTTTTGGATTTTTTCCAAATGCTTTCAAAGATTTACATAAAACCAGCCAAAAGCTTGATGATGTGTCAGCAACTCCATATTATAGAAAAATCAGGAGCTGTTATCCAGAGTTTATTAATATAAAAGAAGTAAAGGAATGTGTTCTTTCTCATTATGTTTAGTAGACATTGAAATTAACAGGATAATTTAAATGCATGCATTTTCAAAATTCATCATTTTAAAAGTTACTATCCTTCTGGCTTTCAAGTCATGAAAGGCCATTGAATGACATCAACAAAGTCAGACAACAGTGCACACATTCTGAATCTCTAAGGGATCTGAGCTAATTGACCTCACTGTTATTTAAAAGAGTTGGAGACTTGTCAAACACCCTTACAAAAGATGAGGGAAAGTGACTTTGAAAACGTCTTTTCAATGATCGGAAAGCATAGCATCATCTAGGTTTATCCAAACAAGCTGCTCACTGTTGCTTGTAACCTGTACTGGTATCCAGTCAGTGAAGGTCAATGAGTACTGCTATGGTTATGGAAATTATGAGAAATAACTTATGCCTATCAAGAAATCTTAGCACGTTGGAGCAGTAAATATAAGGCAAATTCATATGAAATGTGATTTAAGTCTACATTTGCAAAGAAGCAATAAAACATGATGTGCCCACCTTTGGCCTATGATAGCAAGAAAATGTTGTTTATCTTCAGTATGAGTGGAGATGGTCTTGAAGGATATGAAATAGTTGAATGTGACAAGAAGAGAGGAATTTTGACAAAGACAAAAGATTGCAGAAGCTCTGCATGCTCATATTTTATAGGTAGATATGTTTATTGGGGTATTTGAATATTTGTGACAGAGATATAAAAAAGAGGTTGAATTTGTTTGTGGATGATATTAAATACCAGTCTGTGTCATGTGGATCCCAAACATTGTTTTGCTACTTCATTTTAGTCAATGCATCCACACATCAAAACATAAACTAAGATTTGGAACAGTTAAAATGTGGTGAGTGTGCTTGCCCAAAGGCAGCAGATGTTCATTGCCTGTTTCTTATACCTTAAAGGAGATATTACAAAGTATAATTAACACAGAGATTTTAAATGCTTGCAATGATGATGCAATCGTCTTCCTCGGTCTTAGAAAGGAACCCAAGTCTCTGAAAAGTGACCTTTTCTCACTGTCCTGAGTTAATTATGCATGTCTGTTGAAACCTCCTCTGGGATGATACCTCCATATCACCTACCAGTAAGAGCATGGTGAGCACTTCTGGTTTTCCAGACAGGCACCTTCCTTTTACTCCAGTTTTGCTGTCCATAATGAATATAATTGGCTAGAACTGTCGGTTACCGTGGCCATTCCTGTCCTTGAAAGAACATGTGACCCAAGGCCAATCAGGTCCCTGTGCCTTGGCAGAATGACACAATGAAAGTAAAATATATAAACTGGCTTCTGTAGTCTTTGTTCCCCTCGTATAGTGAGCTGCCTTGTATGGATTCAAGAAATTCGTTTTTTTGGCTTTACTTTTCCAAACAAAGAATGGTATCTAGTAATGTCAATTCACCATAGAACCTAGGTGATTTTAATAGACATGCGACTATTAATAGGTCATATGGAAGAGCCAGAAATACCTTATAGTAAAAATGGCAGCATATATTATTATCTTAAACTAGGACCTTCCCAGAGCAAAGTCTCTCTTTGAGCATTAAGTTGTAACAACAGACATAAAATAGAATTAAGACAGAAGTTTTAGTTTTTACATTTCATTTAGGAGCTAAGAAGAAATGGGCTGATAACTGAGCAATCATCTCCCTTTATGAAATGGAACCTGTTATACTCCAGGAGTCCAAGACAGCGATTCACCATCTTGGGAATTTATATGGCCTTATCACTGAACTTGTACTGAAATATTGTAAAATTATGGCTGAAATTGTTCCTTAGCCAGATAGTTGCAAACATTTCTTTACACTTTGACTTATTTATTCATTTGCTTTAAATAATAAATAAAGGCAAAGGAAACAACAAACAAAAGTGCTAGTTAATGATTTCCAAACAGTGGAATGCAGAATCACGTTAAGATGTCATGTATACATTATTATATCAAATATTGCATTATTTTCTTCAGGAATAGAAAATTTAATGAACTCCTTATGAGTTAACCACGCATCTATATTGTGGTGTTTTCAATGAGAATGGTTCCCAAAGACTCATGTGTTTTAATGGTTGGTCCCCAGCTGGAGGAAGTCTATGGGAAGGATTAGAAGGTCTTCCTGGTGTAGGTGTGGACTTGCTGGAGGCAGTGTGTCTCTGAGGAATGGCTTTGAAGGTTCAAAAGCCCACACTAGACCCAGTCTCTCTTTCCCACTCTGCCTCATGGTTGTTGTCTCAACATGTAAGCTCTCAGCTATGGCTCCAGTGCCAAGCCTTCATGCCTGTTGCCACGATTTCCTCTACAATGGTCAGGGACTCACCCTTTGAGAGTGTAAGCAAGTCCTTAATTAAATGATTTCGTGTATAAATTGCTTTGGTTATGGTGTCTCTTCATAGCAATAAAAATTAACTAAGATATGTATATATGCATATGTAGATATATACTAATTAAAACTTTCATCTACTAAGAACCCAAATGATACAAATATTATGAATGAATCTTGTGATGATATAGGTTTACTTATACCAATGGCTGCCAAAAAATGTAATAGTCTTGTATATAAGGAAGGATTGTAAATGTTCCTTGTGAATTCACATTTTAGCTATTTCTTTTTTCACCTTAGGACTTCCAAGCACACTGTTCGGCCATCTTGAAGATTGTTCTCTACCTACAAGCTATCTAACTCAGTGTTGTCTCTCTGATTTCAGCTATAACTCGTAAGTCAGAGTTTTCTGATGATTTCCTTAACAAAGTCTTTCTTATAGGCCCAGATCTAAACTACACACTGCCATTCTGGGCATCATTATTACATCCTTAGTATCCCTTTGCTTAGTTATTTATGATCATATACACAAGATTCCTGAAGTCTTATCTGTTCTGATTCTTATTAGATATTTCTGTAAATTAATGAAACATCCAATGGATTTTCTAAAACTGCTTCTCTGTTGATTTTATGTCAACAGTACATATGTAAAGATGATGTAGGCATAGCTATATGATTAAAATTGCTTTAAAATATAAGCAGCTTTCAACTGTTATAATTGTACTAAATCTGTCTAACATGTAAGCAATATTTTGCTTTCCTTCACTTCAAGTAGCAAATAAATGATATGAAAAAAACAACAACCATAAACAAACAAAACCTGTCCAGAATCATCTGTTAACTAAATTCAGGGTAAAGGTTAGCATTATTGGAACAACTAAAACCTTGCTCAGTAAATATTATGTGGCCTAAAAATGTTGCTGTCAGTGATGCTACAAATGAGAAAATATTTAGGTTCTGAATTTGTAAAACTTTATTGAGGGAAAACTATGTTATTTATAAAACAAAAAAACTTCCATAGGGTCCATGCAATTCTGGTAAGACTATTTTTCATTTTCTTATTTTACACTTTGACAAAAAAAATGTAGTACTATATCAACATAGATGATTAAGTGTTAGAACAAAAATGTAAGACACAATAATAGTAGACCCTTTATCATTTCTTGTTAGAAAATAAAAATATATTCAAGTTTTTAGAATAGATTAAAAACACTTAAGTTGATTCCTCTTTTGTATAGTATATGGTCTTTTATTGTTTTATTGATTTTGCAAACTGATTTAGAAATAAGAAACATGCAGAAGAACGTCAGTTACCTTTTCCTTACAGAAGGTTTTAGTTCACATTTTGGAGGTGTATTCAATTTGATTTTCAATGGACTACTTTAATAGAAAACAATCCGAGGTAGAACATGTGACCACATAGCTTACTTCTGCTTAATGTTTTAATCATGACACAGGGTCAAGGGAACAAAGGTTAGAAAAAGAAGTTCAGTCTAGACCGTGGGGGATTCTGATTCCTGTGTACATCAATGGCTGTTCTTCTGAGGAAATTCGGACCACAGAAAGACTCACAGTATAGCATACAAACTGTGAAATTCTAAAGACTTAGTTGTGCAACTATTTACAACAGACAGGCAAAAATTGAAGAGAAAAAAACTCTCTTTTTTTAATTAATAGGTATCAAATGCCAACATGCAGAAAGTCTGAATCAACTTTGCATGATTTGCTTCAACCTTCAAAGGAGATTGATGTCTTGGATAGACTTAAATAAACTAATTTTGTCTGTATTTTAGCTTATTGCAAATAATTTAAATGAAGCTTATAAAGCAAGACCTCTAGTAATGGAGCAGCTAAGTGGTGAACTAAGTCCTAGTAAAATGTAAACAGGTTTGCTAAGATGGCTTCTTCATGCCCACTTGAGTGAATTAATTTCATCATTTAATTTTGAAAAAGCACTTACATAAATGTCCATTAGTGAGTAACAATGTTTTCATTAAGTGCTATATACTTACCCACTTAGCAACGTTTTAGGAATCTGATTAACAATAATTTAACAATATAATATGATAAATCCTTATTGACTTGACTTCATTGTAACAATGTCTGGTAATATCGACCCTATTAAAATAGAAACACATATATAGCCAATTAATAGCAATGCTATGGATTTTTTTATTGTTACTGTTATGACATAAAATAAGCACATGTGAATCATAGCAGCTGAGACAGGAATGGGGTTGTAAAAGCTGGAGGAGTGAGTTGAGATTGACTTTAGAAAATGAGAACAACACTAAGGTCACCTCTTCCATTTAGTAACAAAGGAATGCTACTGAGGGAACAGGGCACCAAATAAAAACCAAGAAAACTGGAACCATGCCAAGCCCAAGAAGACAGCATGAGCAAACCTTTGACTCCAACTCACAGTGAACACCTGGGACACACGACGGAGCTTTTGTCCCGGCTTCTAAGCTATAAAGATAACGTATGTTGACTTTATGGAAATTTACTTTAAGCTGGTGACTTCATGAGAAATCCATTTTGGCTTGTTTGTCTCTTCATGAGTAATGCAACTGCATCTAAATTTAGCTGTTCCATGAAACTGAATCCCACATATTAAATAATAACTGGCATCTATTGACATGTTTAAAAAAGCTGGGTAATACACTCAGTCTTTGTTAGATGCAATATGACAATTTACTCTGCATATTTGAGGACTATCAGCTGTTTATGCAAATCAGTATTTCAAATATATATTGGTTTCCATAACGAAATTTTTCTGTTTACCTGTGGTTTCTTAGCTGCACAAATTCAAGTAGATTTAAAAGGCTTATGATCCTAGTAAACACAAGTGGCCATAACCAGCAACAGCTCATTATAAGGATGCTAATTTAAAAAAAAAATATCTCCGTCTTCACAGCTGTTACCTGCTGTGTGCAGGACTCTACTTAAAGGGTGTCTCTCATTTTAACATGGAAATGACTGATGTCTGCAAAAATAGTTCTTGTGTTTGGATGGCAGTGGATAAAGTTACCAGCCAAATCTGAAGAGCTTGCAAGCTTCCATTACTGCTGCTCATTATACAGTGTAGCTTTACACCCCTAAATGAAAAGGCTGCTTTTGCCTAATTTGAAGCTCACTGGAGTTGATTTACAACAACATTCTCAAGTTTGGTTGAAGGTAGTAGGCTCAGCTGTTCTTAGAGTCAGGCTAGTGCAACAGACTTGGAAGCAACAGTATGTACACACAAAAAAGCTGATTTGGAAAATTTATTTTTACCATTTTTAATAAATTCAAGAGGAATTATTAATTATTAATAAGAGGAAATAAAATGAACTTCAGAATATTAAAGAAAAGGATTTTTGATCAGCTTTAAAAGTGAATATGAATTTTAATTTGCATCTTGCTTGCAGGAACAACTGAACATAGTCAAACTACCCTAATCTAAATGGTTAATATTGGGTCTTTAAACTTGTATTTAATTAGCTTATTCAATGTGTTTGGATGTTTTGCTTACAAGTGTGTATGTGTACAACATGTGGTCCTCCTGGTGGATCCACACAACAGAAGAGGGTGTTGGATCTCCTGGAACTGGAGTGACAGATAGTTGTGAGTTACCAAGTAGGTGCTGGGAATGGAATGGGGAGCCTCTGCCATAACAACAAGGGTTCTTAACTGCTGAGCTATCTCTCCAGCTCTGAGCTTGTATCTGTTTAAAAGTTTTAGTTGCAGAACGTTTTTGTTCTGTGTCTAAACAATGTCTAAGAACATGTTGAAAAAGAAAATAAATAATACATACCACTTTGGTGTATGTAATTGATTTTGAGTGTGTGTATGCACTTACATATCAAGCATCTGGGCTTTCATCTTACATAATGACAAAGAACTCATTTGATGTATTCCCTCAATTGATTTCTTGATAAAAACTAATTAAAGAAATAAGTGGATACTGCAATGGTGGTGGCAGTGTCCAGTGTCCCTTATTTGTTGGCAATTTGCCTAATTTCTTGGAATTCCTAGTTAATAGGATTCTATTTAAAGAATGGCATTAAGAAATTGCAGTTTGGGTCACTGTAAGAATTTATTGACAATAGCAAACTATGTGTGACTTGGAGCCTAGGATCTAAGCTTGGAAATGTCTCTGGTGTGCCTGACACAGTATTTTGCCTTCTTACATACACGATAGTCGTTGTCGTCGTCATCATCATCATCATCACTAAAGAATCAGCAGAGAGCAGAGGGAGCAAGGATGTAAAGCACTGGAGAAGGAAACCTACTTGCCAACCCGAAATCTAAATTCAGTCCTGGTAATAAAACTGTCACGGTTTGAATAGGAAACGTCCTCAAAGGCTCCCATGGTAATAGCTTGGCTGCCACCTGATAGACTTGAAAAGTGATTGGATCATGAAGGCTCTCACATAATCAATGCCTTATCTACTGATAGATTCATCATTTGAGGACGTTATTGGGAGGCTGAGGGAGCTAGGAGGGAGAGATTGGATGGAGGAAACAAGTCATTGGCTCTGTGCCTTTGAAGGACATGTCCAGTTCCCAACCCCTTCCCCTGATGATTCTCCTCCATCTCTCCTCACCAGCCCTCCACCCTTCTCTCAACTCCTCCTCCTTCCTCTCTCTTTCCATCCCTCCCCCTCTCTCTACCTGCTTCCCACCTAGATGCCATTAGCTCAGCTACTCTGTTCCACTACCTTCTTCATACCATGATGTCTCTGTCTTGCTGTTGGGCAGAAACCGGTAGAGCCAACTTGCTGTAGATGGAAACCTCTGAAACCATGAGCCAACAGTAATCTTGTCTCCCTTGAACTGCTTCTGTCGGGAACTGTTCACAAGTGAAAAAAAAGCCAACTAACACAATGACAAACCAAAACAAGTTACTCAGTACATCTTCCTTTTCTTTCTCCATTTACAAAAGTGGAAGTTATATATTATAATCTAAGTTTATCTGGTTTTATAACTTATTTTTCTAAGTTGTGAGAAAGAATTGAGTACACCAGCAGTATTTGTTACAGCAAGAAGCACAATTGCTTATTACTTTATGACAATCACTACAGTGTACTGAGGATTGATTTGGGCATCATTTATCACACAATTCTAAGGAAATTATTTTTCACCAGTGGTGGGAAGTGTCCCATTACACTTGTAGAAAGTTCAGTTTTTCCCTTCCTTTATCCCCCCAGGGTGTTATCATGTGAAAATGAAACCTAAGAATCCTTTAGTAGTCTAAGCTTATGCAGGCCAATTGGACTGGACAAGATGTTGAAAATTGCAAAAATAAGAAGGAGGAAGAAGAAGAAGAAGAAGAGAAAGAGAAGAAGGGGACAGGGAGGGAGAGGAAACAGAAAGGGAGGGTGGGAGGGGAGGGATATGTGTAAATGAGAGATAAATGGGCACTCTTAACCCTAAACCTTTTCTAGTTTTTATTT